GAAGCGAAACAAAAGGCGTTTGAACGGTGCAAATGTTTCATTTTTAAGCCGTTTAAACGCGTTTGGATTGCGTTTATAAACGCCGTTCGTAAACGCGTTTTTTAGAGCCGAAATTGTTACATGGGATCTAGATCGCCATTTAAAAGCTAAGAAAATACACATGAAACTCGTACAGAAACACTTTCAACTGATTCCACTTTAGCAACATTAACAACAGTAAACGACGTAATGCCTAATCAACATAAATTTGGTAAATATTTTGTATAAAAGTGAGCTTCCCTATTATTATAGTAACTCTTTCTTTTCTTCAGATATAAGTGAATCGGAACTTAAATATTATTTGAATGACTGTGATCAGTTAAACAAATTAAAACGATCAAGAAGTGAACCTCTATCAGCGATAAAAGCACTCATACGAACTTCACATCGATTACGCAGACATCAAATAGAAAAGGACAAAACATTAAGTATTGAACAGAAAATAAACAAATATCCAGAATTACTGGATGAAAGAATGGTATGATAATTCTTGCTTTTTCTCTTTTATATTCTTTTTTTATTCATAGATCGTCAGCGAATATGAAGAAATCACAAAGAAATCATTAGAAGAATTATTAGAATCATGTCGTCAACGACTGGATGCTTTAATACAATTTTACCAATTACGTCAAACAAAATTAACAACAGTGAGTCTTACACTGTAAAGGAGAAAATTATTTATAGAAAATCCTCGATTTTCCAGTGTTATAGAAATTCGTATTTATGGAGATTTGTCTCAAATTTAGTAAATTTGTATCTAACAAACGTTTTTATTTAGAAAGCAAAACTAGATTGGTTGGCTTTAAATAAATTATGTGACGATGTTCGCAATGAGCTGTCTGATGAAAATTTGTACAAAGAAAAGTTACTATTTAATGTAAGAGCTGTTTAAAAAATTATGCTACAACGAACTCTTATTTTTCGCCTTTTAAAGCCTAGGGACGGATTGCCACAACAACACTTAATATCTGTTTAAATGAAAATAATTTTTTCATATCTAGGGACGATATCCTCCAAATATTGAATTGAGATTATTTTTTCAATCAACGAGAACACAGTTTTTAAATACCTGTTCATTAAAACTGTCGTCAACCAATATTTCTATCTCGTATGCTCTTACAGATGGATACGGATTACAATTACCATGTTTAGTGTTACTTGCAGCCATCCAAATTTTTGATCTTCAAATACAGCATCCTTTCTTGATGCTACTTTTACAAGATAATATTACAGAATTATTTTCACGAAATTAATTTTATTATGGTGAGTTATATTTCGTGCTGTTGTTTTTTTTTCTCCATTTACCGTTATTAGTATTCACAGTAGTCAGATTTTGTCTTTTCTAACTTTCTTGATGAAATTAAAAAGTTAATTTTATGTTTGTTCAGTTATTATACTGTGATTGCTGTAAATACTTCATTTTTTTCTACTATCCGTTTCAAAATACAACGGAGTGACTCATTTTTTAAGAAAAATTTTCAATGCTCGTAACATGGCTCGAACTTCAGAACTGTTCTCTATATTTCTACGCAAGTCCCAGTTTTGTACTTCTAACCGTTCGGATAAGGCTCGGGTTTTCCTGGTATCCTCGAGACTTGCTTTTTGTTACGTAACGGAATCTTCAAATAACTTGATACATAGGTTTTCGGCCATGGGAATCTCGTGGCAATGTTTGTTTTGTTGTCTGGAATAGAGAAACTTCAAAAGATGACTTTTTCAGAAAGTTCTGTTTTTCCGCTGTAACCGTCGTAGAATGAAAACTTTCTCCCACGTTCATTTCTCAACCAAACTGCTTCATATTTTCAAAACTCACTTAGTTTCCTCTGTTGTGCAGTTTAGGAATGTTAAAATTCTTTCTCATACTGAGATTTCGCTTGAAGATCTACCTGTTTTTTGTGGTTGTGGCCGTGGCATTGGATGGAACATCTTCTCTTATGCCCACTCTTCAAATTGCATGAAAGTTGAAGAGTGCGCATAAGAGAAGGTGTTCTATCCAATAACACGACCACAACCACAAAAGACAGGTAGATCTTCAAGCGAAATCTCAGTATGAGAAAGAATTCTAACATTCCTAAACTGCACAACAGAGGAAACTAACGAGGAAAGGTCCCAAGTGGGAAATCGCTTTTGGCTCGAAACTTAGTTGGCAATAGGTAATCGACGATGCTGAATCCGAATGTCACAATGGTTTCGGCTAACACTGAGGTTTTCAGGCGGATTTCCGGAAAACCAGTTTTTCGGAAACTCTGGAAAACAACCAAAACGTTCATTAATGAGCCATGCTTGTAGCCCGCACATTTCTGATTAAAATGAGACCTCTTCCAACTCTACATGACCTTTCTTTGCATAGTTATAGAATTTACAAGAAAAGCCCTAAATATTCATTGTCAACGCAAAGCTACAGAAATAAGACGGAAAAAAGTAGTTCAGGGCTTTTCTTGTAAATTCTATAACTATGCAAAGAAAGGTGCGTAGAAATATAGAGAACAGTTCTGAAGTTCGAGCCATGTTACGAGCATTGAAAATTTTTCTTAAAAAAATGAGTCACTCCGTTGTATTTTGAAACGGATAGTAGATTTGTTTTTCTCTAAAGTTTCCTGGTGAGGGTCTTCTTTGTAGTTTAGTTTTGTTGTTGTTGCCATTTATTGGGCGTAGTTAGAAGCACTTTAATTTGACAGATTTATGTATGTTCGTAGTTGATAACATCGTGATTTTTTTTGTACATACGCTAAATTGTGTAATCTTTCGTATGTGTGCTGTACATCTTTGGTTTTTCTGGATTGTTTTGTTCACTTACAATTAGAAATGTCATATTATTATTCCTGGTCATTTTATAATCCAGAGTGACTTTGTTAAACTATTTTTGGAAAACTTATTAAATAAAAGGATTACTGCTGTGGAGAAGACTACTTGCAATTAGCTATCTCAGGAATTTTTTTAGATTTCCGTTTTCTAAATACGAATAGAAATAGTACAGAGCTCCGAAATAAATATTTATTCATTACATTTTTTCAAAATTTATATGGAACTGCTAGCTTTCGATGTGTTACACACATCATCATCGGACGGAATGAATGAGAAACAAAACATACATAGAGACAAAAGTATTTTATCAGTTTTTGTGATATTATTCGAATCGGTTTTGCTTCTATGTATGCTTTATTCTTTGTTTTCTTATTCATTCTTTATCGAAAGTTATTCAAAAACCAACCGGAACTTCTTTGCCAGGTAGGTCGTTGTTCTCATAATACACCGCTATCGCTTTGCTGTATATATTTTGTGTGTTCGAATATTGCATACAGAATGAAGTGGTACTGCTCTCTGTGTAATATTGATAACAGGACTCTGACAAAGCATGTGGAGCATTTCAAATGGATGCATGCTATGGATAAAAAGGTTACAATTATGTGTGGTGTATGTAATACTGATTATTGTTCCGTCAAAAGTTTTCAATGCCATTGGTATAAGTTCCACAGCGAAGCAAAATCCTTCTAAGTCAAGGTGGCTCTCGAAAGAGCTTCTCAAGGAAGTTTCAAAGGAGTTTAGGAGGATCCATCTTTAGTAGTATCTAATATTATTTTACACTTTTAAAATTAATTTTAGAATTTTATTTTCTGGTGTATGTGATCTAGTAAAGTGAGAAATTCTACATCTTCCGATATAAAATGCATGGCTTTAAATTTTGAGTTTGAGGTCAAAATGCCGATAATATGGATTTTCTACGTAAGTCAGTCAATTTAGGGCTTTCCTTCTCGCAAAAAAGAATAATCATTTAACACAAATAGTATCAGATTGTACAACATAAAATTTTACATCTTTTGACGTTAAAATAGTTATCTGTAAGTTCAATTGAGAGATCAGAAACGCCTCGCTAAAGACGTTAAGTTTATTCTGTGCCGTTTTAGAAAATTAGAATATTTTAATATCGTGAATATTTTGCTAAAATTTCGAAAATTCAAAACAAAATCGACAGTTTCCTAGAGACTTAAATTCTCTGTCTTTTGAGCTAAATATTGAATTTTTAAGCACAAGTCAATATAGATAAAAATTTAATAGAAAACTGGCTTCAGGACTTCTGAACCACCCTTTATGCAACATTTTCTCACTATAAGTTTATTATAGGGATCGTGATCTTTATACTACTTTGCCCTATAAGACATGGTTTTTATCCTCCGATCATTAAACGAACATTAATCAGAACTTTTGAGTTAATAGGATTTGTTGTGATCTTTTCAATTTCAGCCATTGATGGAATTCAAGCATTAGAAAAACGGATTTTGCATATGCTGGTCACATTACAAGTGCGTTACTTCGTATCTGAATCAGCCGTTAATTACGTTGCTAATTCGTTATCCAATGTTTTTGAATTTGCTGCATTAAATCCGTCTGTACGTATAATTCCACGGAATTATTTTCGCAGAAACTAGCTAGTTAGGCTGCTTACCATATCTTCTTTTGGTTTTTCTGTATCATGTAACAGAGCCATTAACTTTCTTTAGAACTTGAACATTACATCATTCTTACTCCAAGACTTGGTTAAACCGAATGTTAGATTACGTAAAGCAAATGAATATTTTGGTTATATTGAGCCAGTTCCAAGAAACTATGTGGTATGTAACATTCTTTCCAAGTGCTATTCGTCTCAACTACCCCAAATATTTTAGGTTACTAATGAAACGAAAATAAATGGACAAGATGTGAAAGAAGACAAAATTATCAAGTATTGCTACATTCCATTTTACAAAAGCTTGGCTAATTTTTTACAACTTCCAGAAGTGCAGATGGATTTAGATCGTCGATTGCCTATTCATGATCCTGCGAATATACATGATTTTTACGGTAAGTCCCGTTGTGTTTTCAGCGGCTGAAGCTTTAAAAGAAACTGAAAGATAGTACTGTTATACATCAAGTTCACATTGTAGTCTTGTTTTCAGGTGGTTCTTTTTGTATCAATCATCCCGATTTTAAAAGAGAAAATTATTTGAAAATTGAATTAAACAGCGATGATCTCAACGTCAGTAATCCAGTCGGCAATCGCGTACATAAAATCTTCTTCTTCTATTGGTCACTATTAAATATCACAAGACACCATCGATCAAAACAAGCAGCCAAACGGATGATCAGTGCGTGTCCTAGAGGAGCGTTGGCTTATGATGGTTTATATAATACTACACGTGACTTCATTATATCCATACGAAGATTGTCAACGAGGGTAAAAGTTAATCATCGCTTTCTTCTATGATCATTTTCCTCAGCAGTTATAGGAGTTTTTGTCTTAATTTTTATAGGCATTGAAATTGATGTCAACGGAAGAAAAAAACGTTATTTTGGTAGTTTATTTTTCACACTGGGAGATTTTCCAGCGTCAACATCTTTACATGGGTTCAAAGAAAGTGTATCAGCACAACATTTTTGCCCATGTTGTGATGTCACAAGAAGTAAATAAATTATCTTTTAATAAACTTACCTCTTAGCTTTTTGACGGAACAAAAAAATAGTCTTTCTTAAGTTCTTGACAGGTGATATTAATAGTACATTTGTTTTATTGTCATAGCAGTATTTTTTAGATTGTTTTGAACGTGATATTGATTATGAATTTCCTTGTATTACATTGGAGGAATATCGAACAAGATGTCAGGCATTAGAAGAATTAGATAAATACAACTCATCATTCGAATAGTTTTCTAAACGATATGGCATCAACAACAGAAGTTTATTTGATGAACTGAAAGAATTTGATGTTACCATCCAGTTATTATTTGATCCAATGCATGTGCTCTTAGAAGGGGTAGTTAAAAATCATTTGCACGCATTCATTAATTATAGTGTTACTACTAATTTATTTACAATGAAAGAGTTTTGTGTTGCTGTCAATAATTTTCAATACAGTAAGAACGAAGCCGCAAACAAACCACATTTGGATCTTGATATTGCTGCTTTACGTGCAAGATCAGATGATTTGCCGTTGTCTAGCATGCAAACATATGTTTTATTATTTAATTTACCATTGATATTGAGACCAGTATTACAAAATACTGATTTTCCACATTATCGAGCAACTTTATCGTTGTTAGACATCACGGATTTGTGTTTTGCGACCGATATCCGACATGATACACCGAATTTATTGAAAAGTTGGATATGGTTCCATAACACACAATTTAAAATACTTTATCCTGGTAAAATGAAACCAAAACTTCATTTTTTGACACATCTTCCGAGGCAAATGGTATGGTTTGGACCGCTAAGGTGTGTTTGTTGTTTCATGGAAAATATTTTATAGAGTCCGTAGAAGGGATGTGCAAGCTTCATGAGTAGTCTGATGAGTTCTACCTGGGAATGGCCTGTGAAGCCATGTGATGTTTGTTTCTAATTTTAAGATCCGCATATGTCCGTGTTCTTAGATATTTTCGCATTTTTATCGTTTTTCCCTTTCGTTGCCGATTAGGTACACAAATTGTCTTGCATCAGAACGAAAGCATCAGTTTTTTAAGTCCAATAAATCGAGAAATTTTTTGAATTTAACACGGACATTTTCAAAAAGACACGAATTATGGTGTGCAATCGTCGACTACAACAGTGATTCTTCATTATCAAACAAAGTATTAAGTGATCCCGATGAACGTCTGATTAGCAAAACAAAACTCTGCGATTTACAAATATTAGACAATCTTCAGTTGCCTATGATTCCAACGGCTGTTTTGAAGTCAACAATTATTGATGGAATTGAATATTGTGAAAAAGCTGTCATATGTATATCTGCACAAAGCGTATCATCGGATCCAAAATTTGCTGAAATAAAATATATTTTATCACATAACAATCAAATATTATTCATTTATAATGAACTCGATAAAATATTATTTGATGAAAACTTACGTGCATTCCAAGTAGTTAAAACAAATCGAATTAATTATTGTTTAGTAGATAAGTTGGAATATAAATGGACTGCTAAAACATTATCGGATACCAATTCAATGTGGGTTTTACTTCACCCATACGGACTTACATTTTCAACGATACCACCAATAAATTAGAAAATATGTATTTTTTTTTTATAATTGTAGTAGGTTTTTTCGTATCTTAGAATCGTTTTCTTCCTTTGCTGTTATTATTGTTTTAAAACTTGTCATCTTTGTTTTAAAAAAAATTGAAAAAAAACAAAAGAAAATTCATCATTGTTTTCTTTATTTGTGGATGTTATAATTAAGCTGTCAATCTAGAAATTAATGGATTAGTAGAAGTCTGTCGAAA